TAAAAGTTTATTAATTAATTTGAAAAATTTCTAATTATTGTTAAGTCCTGTGACTAAAGAAGTCTTAGTTATTGATCTGCAGTTGCAATCGATTTGACTGCCATTCTCTGCACACAAATGCTTACAAAAATAATCTTAAGTTTTGCTTCTTTTCATTATTGAAGCGTTTAATAGTTTTATTTGACTCTCCATTGCTATCCATTGCTATACACGAGCACTGGTTTACTCATGAATTGGTTTAAGATTTGTTGAGATAACACATGAAGTCTTTGAAAATGGCACTCAATTCTGAAATGATTTGAATTGAAATTAATTTTTTATGTTTGCTTTGAATGGAGACTTTAGTTAATTACTTATTGTTTTAAAGAAAAAACAAATGTATTAATAATGCATTACATGAATGATTGAACTAAAGGTGCCTTAGAGGAGGAACAGGAGAGAGAAGCCGAGCAGTTCTCTGAGAAAAACAAACATCAGCTCAAACTCCGGGAGTTATTTCTGTCGCGTCAGGTCGAGACACTGCCGGCCACTCATATTCGGGGCAAATGTAGCGTCACTTTACTCAATGAGACGGAATCCCTGGCCTCTTATCTCAACAAAGAGGACGCCTTCTTCTATACGTTGGTCTACGATCCGCACCAAAAGACTCTGTTAGCCGATAGGGGAGAGATTCGGGTCGGACAGAGATATCAGGCAGAAGTGCCGCACAACACACTCGCGTCCGGAGAGTCCGACAATCGGATTGTCGAAGAACTCGAATCCTTAGTCTATACACCAGAACATAGTCTCAGTGATAAACAAATCGATCAATACTTGATTATCTCAAGGTTTGCATTCATTTTATTTGAAATACCGTTTGCAGCGTCTGACAAATGTGTGGTAATACCGGTACAGATCTGTGGGAACGTTTGCCAGAGCTCTGGACTGTTCCAGTTCAATCAAGCAGCCGAGTCTGCATATGAGCGCCGCCGCCGCTTCACGAGATATAACGCTTTTGCACGCAATGAATGTCCTCCATCAGCATAATTATGATATCGGGAAAGCCGTCTGCAGTCTAGTCCCCAACAACGGCCCCGTTCTATGTCGAGATGAGATGGAGGAGTGGTCCGCATCTGAAGCTAATCTCTTTGAAGAGGCGCTGGAAAAGTATGGCAAAGACTTCAATGATATTCGTCAAGACTTTGTAAGATTAACTGGTTTTGATGTTTTAAAGTTTGTTTTAATCAATTGTTTTGTCAACGAATAGCTTCCGTGGAAAAGCCTTAAGAATTTAGTGGAATATTATTATATGTGGAAAACAACCGATAGATATGTTCAGCAAAAACGGGTGAAAGCAGTTGAAGCCGAAAGTAAACTAAAACAGGTTTACATTCCTAATTAGTAAGTGCTGTCTGTCTCGTCTCACACTAAACACCGACTCATTAATGCTTTTATTTAAAGTAATAACAAACCGAATGCAGTGAACGGAGGCATGAATTTGTCAAATGATGCGAATGGAGCCAATGGTCGCTCCTGTGAGAGCTGTTACAGTAAGACTCACTATATATTGTCGTTTTGTCACTCTTTACTCCAATTGTGGTGATGTTCTCCAACAGAACAAACGTCTTCTCAGTGGTACGCATGGGGTCCGCCACACCTCCAGTGCCGACTCTGTCAAAGTTGTTACACTTATTGGAAAAAGTTTGGAGGACTTAAGTATTCTTCTCGAATCGGTACATATTTTATTGCTTTGGAAATTCATATTCTCGTCAAAACTCATTTTTATTAAATGTTTGCCACAGATATCGACAAAATTAATTCGACTGCAAGAGCACCGACTGATTCACAGAACTCTCAATACCCCTGTCGTGAATGCAATAAAGTATTTAATAGACAAGGTAATTGTCATTTTTGTAAAGTAATTAAAATGGTGAATATTAACTGTTATGCCGTATATACTGTTTAGAGCGGTTGGCGTCTCATATGCTGTCCCATCGACCCCATCGCTGCACAATCACTAATTGTGGAAAAGAATTCAAATTCAAAGCACATTTAGCCCGACATTGCGCTACTTCTCATGGGTTAGCCATGAGATCTGGAAGTCCGCGACCAATCATGAAGACGAGGGCCGCCTTCTACTTGTGCTCCACTTTGGCCGCACGAGTGGCCCGTCGTCTTTGCTCAAAGGTCTTGAGGCCACGACATGCGACACGCAATCCATTTCTGCCCATAAATATCAATGCCATTCGCTTGGAATGTAAGTGATATTTGAATTGTTTTCTTGTTATACCGTACGACACCTGTACTGTACAATGGATTTATAATATTTTATAATTATTTGAATTAAAGGTCAGACAAAGTTTGCGAATGGCATCCCTCCCATGCCTAAGACAAAGCCCATCGAAAGGGGAAAAGTTACGGCTATTTCTCACAAATTGGGAACTCCACAAATGCCTTGTCCTGAGTGGCTGATTGCAACTCCAAAGGATCAGTTGCCACAACCGGAGAGACTGGCGTTTCAACCGCCGCCCAGAGGAGAAGGTATTTATTAAATTTGCGGACAGTTGTGTGTTATATCCATGGATTTAACGTGAAATTAATGAAAATATGAATAGACGGTCAGCTGATGTTACCGCGAATCGTAGCGCCGCCGTCTACTACACCACCAGAACCACAGGAATCTATTAAGACTCAGTGGGGGATCAATAACTTGTCGCCCATTATGTTAAGAAAGCGGACATTTGAACAAAACGGTAATTATATTTGTTTTGCAAAACGTATGAATGTGTCTGAAGTGTGTCTCATGTGATTAGGGTCTCCGGTGCCGCTCAAGAGACGTCAATTAGCGCCGCCCAGTATTCTTGGAAAAGCTGTTCCAGATTTTTATGGGATGACAAACAGGAATACCATAATCACTCCATTGAACGGTAGGGCGAAAGTGGCGACCATTACCAGAGTTGGTGGACGAAAGCAAATGATAAGTTGGGTCGACGCGCCCGATGATGTCTACTTTGTGGCCACTGACTCGACCCGGTATTATCACTACTGGATATGTATTTGAGAGCATTTGTTTGAATGGTTTGTATTTGCAGTAAACTTCGTCGACAACTAAATCCGGGAGAGTTGAGACGCGCAGCTCGTAGGCCATGGAGGAGATGTGGGAAAGCCTTAAATTTGAACTCAAATAATACGACCACTACTACTAATAACAATAATAACTCCAATTCATTGAACCTCTCAAACAATGTGCAACAATTGTTTGCAAATCCAGTCAGTATTGCGTGAATACCGGCAAATGTTTAGATCAGCGATTGGGACAAACGGATCGGCAGTCTTCATACTTATATTCATAGTTCTCTCAGACAAGTGACCAAATGTTTGCGCTTTCTATCAATCAATTGGTACTTAAATTGTGAAACATTTACCGCAACTCTCTATTAAAACAAAGACTACAAAACGGATCGTTGTTTTAATAAAGCACTGGTTTTGGACGTCCGCGCCTTCTCTTAAGTGTTATTACTCTGAACTCCAATTCATTCAATAATCAAGAAATGGACAGACATTCTGTTGAAGTGTTTGATTTGAACTACAAAAACGTCGATTGACTGGCTTTTAAGAGAACCAAAAGATGTCTCATAAGAATGTTATTTCATTTTCATCACCACTTTATATCCTCTTTCACACAAACATTTCATGCATTCGTTCATTCATTTCATTCATATTGTGATCATTAATAACAAAGTTTTTTGAATAACAAATTAAAACTATTTAAGACAAAGTTTTTTGTATCACTCCGTTGTAGACAAAAATGTGAGAAAACGAGTGATTCAAATGATGTTAAAAAATTGCTTCATTTTATACCCAATATTAATATATTTGTAAAAATAATTTTGACAATTGAACAGAACTGTAAGATATGAACAAATGTCTGAAAATTTTATTATTTTTACACCAGTTATGGATTAGACGATAATGTAATGCGATATCTATTGATGGCATGAATTCGGCTGAAGTTTGTTTCGGTGCTAAACCTGTTGACAGCCGATGACGTGCCAGAGATTACTGCAACAAACGCCACCATTTGTATATTTAGATCATATTATATACAATTTATTTATAATATCCGTTGCTTTGGGTTTTCAAATGCAAACAAACAAAAAAAGCTTTTTATAATCTATTAAAATCATAAAAGTAATTGAAATACAAATTTTAATAGTTTTGAGTTTTTATGAATTAAACATTTTCAAATTTCACTTTTTATCAAATTTGTAAATAAATGTCAAACAAATCAAAGATTCAAAACGACGAGCCGATAGACACGAAAATATTTTTAATTAAATTTAAATCTCAAATCTTTCTGTACACACTTTCGGTCTTTGATTTACCACTTTTTAAAATATTTATTTTTGTCATAAATTAAAATGATTTCAATTAAGAGTAAAAATATAATAATAAATTGAAAGGGAGTTAAAATAATTGGAGTTATTTATTATTATTGAATGTATGTACGAAATAATAGTTTTAACGATAAGTCACTTATTCTTGTGTTGGTTTACTTGAAGTCAAGGATCGATAATTGTTTGCAAATGAATTGTATTGACAAACGATTGATAAGTTATCTGAAGTTTGGAGTACTTGACGTTCACTCGATTCCCATTCAAAGCAACACTCACTTCGGCTTTTCATGCGATCCGCACCAAAATGAAAGCTTTTCTATCATTTCTTTTTGTTATTTCGCTTCAATTGTGTTGTGGTGTCACGAGAGATGATCTCTTCCCGTTCGGTGACCAAAATGGCGACCAAAAGCTCTTATCCAATGCAGACGATGTCTCGTCACCGGAGATTCAGCTATCGGTTCCCATCGTGTTTTACGAAACTATTTATAAATCACTTTTTGTGAGTTCAAAATTCACCTGTGTACTTTCTGTTGAATCTATTTGAAAACTATTTGAATCTTAAATCCATACGAATAACAGGTTAATGACAACGGAATCGTTTCATTCTTGACTGAAGTAAGTCTGTGTCAATACATTCATTCAAACTGACAATTTGTTTGATAAATTGATAAAGTTACAATTTGTCAAATAAACCATAATTAACGAATGGTTGGATACAACTACAGGTGCCCTCGTTCTTCAATTCCCAATTTCCGCTCTCTTACCCCATAATAGCTGCCATGTATTCAGACGTTGATATTAGGAAAAGTGGATCAGTCTATTACAGGTTCATTTGAGAGAACTTCTTATTAAATTGATGAGTTTTGCATTGCTTTGGACAGAGTATTGAGTCTTTTAGTAAATCCCAATCTTTAGGGAAACAACAACTCCGGATCTGTTGGAGAGAGCAAATCGGGATATTGTGCGCCACTTCTCAAGAGCCAAGCATTTCAAAGCTCAGACTCTATTCATAGTCACGTGGAGTGATGTCGGAAGATATGATCAAAAGACATCTCCAGTAAAAGAATTTTAAATAATAATACTAATAGTCTTTAAAATGTAATTTATGTTAAATTAAGACAAATACGGCTCAAGTGGTTATCGCAACGAATGGCACTGAAAGTTATGTCTATTTATTGTATCCAACAAATGCTATTCAATGGATCCAAGGAGAGGGCAAAATCAGTAATTTGCCGGACGCTCGCACTCAGGCCGGCTTCATGTCAGGTGACGGACGGTTTCATTCACTTCGGGGCTCCGGAACCGAACAGATTCGCAACTTTGATAAGTTTAGCATTTGTTTCATCATATTTTGAGCTAAAATTTATAGCATTATTTGCCACAGAATGTCAAATGTGTTTCGCCCCGGTGTTTGGTTGTTCTTAGTGGGAAATCTGGGAAATGGTAATGTTGTTGAGCCTGATATTGATGGCAACCAAAGTTTGCAGAAACCAGAATTAGACACCTGTGCGACCGCACAACTTCCCTGCCCTCCAAACGCCAATTGCATAGACTATGCTAAAGGATTTTGTTGTCAATGTTCTGATGGCTATTTTGGGAACGGTAGACAATGTCTCGTCAATAGTAAGTCATCACAAGATTATTCATTAAACAATTTAATCTAATAGTAATGTCTCTAAAGTGAAACTTATTTCAAGTTCACTGTCAATGATTTGCGGCTCTTTTGTGCAAATATTGATTAAATTTTATAACAAATTTGAAAAATTGATAAAATTGAATTTTGAACACAACTATAGAGACAACCAGATTAGGTCTACATTTAGTCTATTAGAGCCAAGAGTTTTAGATTTTTATTTAACTTGCAGATTATTTCTACATAGATTATACACTACATTTAAATGAATTTATTTGAAACCTAAGAAATTCTAAGTGTATGATTAATATTTGATTTGACAATACTTTGAGACAATTCTTTATAAAAAACAAAATTTGTGTCAATTGTAAGTGTTTTGTCTGTTCTGACAATTTTCAATGAGTTCTCACATGTCTTTGGAGTGATTTTGTCTGCAATTTTATCACTCGACTAGAACTGGAATCAACTATTCATATAATTAAACAAATTATTATTTATTCTGTCCTTAATCTAATCTGATCCAAAAATACTTGAGCAAAGTTCGAGCTTTCAAACGGGAATACCATTGTTTTAGACACACCTTTGCGTCTTAACGGGAAAGTGAGCGCAAAAATCAATGACATTATGATCGATGGCGTCGATTTGCACGCGTATATCGTGACAGAAGAGGGCCGAACCTATACAGGTCTCATGGCTTGCATTGACACTATTATTAAATAACCTGGCTAGTATTAAATAACTAAAAGACATACCATTATAGCAATCAGTCGCATACCACAGAATGTTGGCTTTGATTTGCAGACCATTTCCACGATAGGCTCTGTCATCGGATGGCTGTTCGCATCAACCAAATCGGGTGCTCCCAATGGCTTTATGCTTACGGGTAATACATGTACTTTAAAACCCGAGAAATGCATACAAATGAGTCATTTATAATTGAAAGGAGGAATATTCAACAGAACTGCCGAAGTAGACTTCCCACAGACAGGTCATCGCATCTATATATCTGAACAGTTCCTCGGACCGGATGTCTTCAATTTTCTTAAAGTTAATGTACAAATCAGAGGTTCTCTGCCGTCGGTTCCATTTGAATCCAAAGTAGAAGTCGATGACTATTTAGAAGAGTTTACTCGAGTATCTCCCGGAGTGATCCGCTCTCACGCCACCCACTCCTTCCGATTCGGACAAAACTCTCTGAATATTCCCATAGTTATCGACCAAACCATCACTTATGAGGAATGCCAATACGCACCGGTAGATGAGAAACTGTCGACACTACAGCTAAATGTGGCCAGAAATTACATTGTTTATGATAGTAAAGAACAGATTGTCAGATATGCGTCTACCAGTAAAACGGCATTCCTGTCCGGTTTGTAGTCTCTAAAAAGTCATTAAAATTAAAAATTAGATTTTTAAAATGTATCATGTATAAATTTAGCTGACGACCCGTGTAGGACTGGTAACGCTCAGTGTGGAACTCATAGTAGTTGTGTAGTGGATGGCTTAAGTTTTAAATGTATTTGTGACCGGGGATATCACACTGATTACGTAACTGATGCTCAAAATGAGTTAAGACCATCCAGACAGGTTATCCAGACAGAGTTAAGACATTGTATAGGTTAGACATTGACAGTAATATGTTTAATATTTCATTTAATTTTACTCTTAAATAAATCACATATTATTAGATACTAATGAATGCAGTTCTGGAAGACATACGTGTCATTCATACGCCGATTGTATTAATACCGACGGCTCTTATTTATGTCGATGTAAAGCTGGATATTCTGGCGATGGATACCACTGTCAAAGTATTGAACTAATTATTTGCTTGCTCAGAGAATTTATAACAGTTGTCTATCTTAAGGACATTTCCACTATTTATAGTTTTCAAAAGAACTTTCCAAATGTTATTATAATTTATAAATTAATTTAGCGGAAGAGACGTGTGACCAGACGTGCGGCACAAACGCTCAATGCGTTCATTTGGAGCAAAGAAGGCCTGAAAAATTGTTTTCAATAGTTTGAGTTTAATTTAAAATTCAAAATTTTCATTAAAAATCATTTTACAATAAAATTGTAAGTTTTCTTAAATAAATAATAAAGTTAATAATAAAATCTCGATTTACATGTGATTTATGTCATCTCTTCATAGTCTCAATGATCGGTGCATTCATTAATGCATTTATTATTCAATTTACAATCAATTCCAAGAATTTATGATTAATAGTAATATTAATTATAATATTATTGATTATATAATTACAATATTTAAAAATCTATTTATATAATCTATTTATTTGTTAAGAAATATGAGGCCTTTTAGTCGACTTTTTTGCTCAACATTTCTTTGGGTTGAACTCCAAACCAATGGAAACTACAATCGGTTCAACAATTTTCATATCAATTATAAGGAGAATTAAGGAATTGTTAGCAAACAAGAGTTGAGAAATAATATCTACATTTGCGATACCTATACCTAACAAAGTATTAAACCAAACAAGAATTCAATGCTAACTATTGAGTAGTGTTTGAGTTTCCAATCCTTTAGTCTGCTATTCAATGGTCGAACAAATTGGCAATAGATTGACAAAAGGTTAATATAACTACTATTCACGCATACCATACAATATATGACTTATTATGGACCACAGTTTGGGTCATTGCCGTCCACTAGGACTGCATCGGCCATACATTTAGTCCGTTCCTTATTGTTGGCCTCACTGTCTTTAGACGATTGACCCGGAGACTGTCTCTCACCTGTGGTTCAAATGTATGCAACAATTCATTAATGATTAGCACTTTAATGAATGAGAGAAATATAGTACCCGAAGAGTGATTAGGAGCCGGCACTCCGTACCCATAATAGTAACGATAATATTGTTCATAAATAGGTAGATATGAAGCCAACGAACTTTGAATGAAAGCCAGTTGTGGGGGAAGAGGAGGCGTAGACGACGGTAGAGATGATGGAGAACTCGGTGGAGAAGATTTTACCGGTACTTGTGATCGGCTATCGAATACCTTTTGGCACAAATTGCTGGAAGACTTCACTTCTGTTTAAATTCAATTCAATTGCAAATTATGTACTGTTTTCAAAACGTACAAAATTTAAGTACAATATTATATACTGTTTTAAATCAATACCTTTTTTAATTTTGTGTTGACTTTGAGTCGGAGAAAGTGGTAAATAAGAAGGGAATGGAAAGACAAACGGCGACTGCAGTCGAGGAGGACTGGGAGACGACATCTTTGAATGCTTTTCCTTTTCGTTATAACTATTGAAGTTTGGCGCCGAAGAGCTCGTCGACAATGACTTAGTTTCGAGTGGACTATAATTGGATGACTTTCGCGTCAGGTCTACGGGTATTGCATTCGATGCCACCGATACTGGTGTTGGCATTGAATAAGAGGACTGGGATGACGTTGAAGATGAGGAGGACGACGATGACATTGCCCATGAGTTAGGAGTCGACTCGTAACGAGAGTGTCGGTGTCCGGCGGGTGCTGCTGAATGAGCTTTGGGTGGTTGTAGTGAAGACTTCTCAACGATGGTGTGATACCATTTGTTTTCGAGTGAATTCTGCGAACTTCTCCTTTCATTTGTCGATTCACTGGAAGATCTCTTCCTGTGTTCACTAATCTCTTCATTTGTTGTTAAGTTGGGACTCAAGCGCTCCCTCTTCACAGACGAGCCTTCAGTCTTAATGAGACGATTGCACGGATTCGAGACATTTGTCTCGATTTTTGAATCTTTCATTGATAGAGACGTCGGAGAAGATAATGGTTTGAGACAATTGTTTTCGAGTTTCACTTTTGCTTTCTTAGCGATGAAAGCCGATGGCGAGGGAACTAAAGCGCTTTCATTGCTTTCCATGGAGTCGTCATCACTCGACTCATTGGAGGCGTCATCCAAATCGTCGTTATTTAGATACTTATGATTTGAGTGGTTCTGTAGGTCCGAGTCTTGACGATCAATGAGTAGTCGTTTGTGGGCCTTATGTAGGGAACGTGCCTTCTTTGCCGTGTCCAACGACTCAACCCATTGGCACTTCTGGCCCAACAACTCCTGTTGAGCATTGAGTTTAAGGACTAACTGTCCGTCCAAATAGAACTTAAGGGAGCCTACGGTCGAGATGTTATTATTTGATTCTTGGAAAGCAGTCGGAAGTATAGGCTTCGCCTTCAATGGCTTCACTTCTTGGCCGCTGATGGCAGATGTTTTCAGGTCTTCTAAACTGGCCTTAAGATCACAAATATTATTGTCGAAAGAGTTTTGCAAATTTGGATTTTGATCGCAATTATTAAGTTGTGGTTTGATTTGAGCGCAGGCCATGAACTTTGACACTGAGGACAGGATATCCAATGCAAAGGAACTGCTGATGGAATCGGGTTTAATGTTAGTGTTGACTACAGTTTCACTTTGATTGCCGTCGTTCTGGTGGTCATGTTTGGGCGGCGAGTGAGTGCTTTCCCTATCGATTCCCAAGTAGTAGAACTCAATAATACTCTTCACGGACTTCCACGGAAGGAAATTCTTCTTAATTGCACTGAAATTCTTGCCGCAAACCTCCAGTGCTCTACAAAACAGCCTGGTCTCATTTGGGTTCCATTCAGCATACAATTGAGCCGTTAAACTGTTGGCAATGTCCGACTGATTAAGTGGTTCGGGGATTGTCTCATATCGACATCCGTTGTCATGATGTGTGGGATGGTGTGAAGACACGAATTCAGACTACAATATTCAACAATGCGTTAAACATTTCGTATTTAAACATCAAATAGTTGTCTTTAATTACCAGTCCTTTGAGCGCGTTTTCGATGGGATGGTCCTTCAAATTAGAGGTCGAACCCGAAGTCGAAGAGTTGTCTTTCGACTTGTCATCAGATTTCTCACAATTCTCGGTGTTTTCGTTGGAGTTAGTGTTGGTTTCACTGGAATTTGTGGTGTCTTTATGACTATCGCTATTCACACTATTATTTTCGGTGTAATTCTTGTCGATCGCTCGCGTGAACAGACCGACAGCTTTGGCCACCGATAAGTATTCATCCAATTGTTCATCCGTTAGCTCATTGTCTGATCTCCACCGCAATGTCTCTAACTCTTCTAATTTTCTGCCATCGCTTTCGCCTTAATTTCAATCAAATGTCAATTCATTCTGTTTGTGTCATATATTTCTATAGATTCACTCAAACCTTGCTTAAGAATCGGCGGAACAGTTGCCTGATATTGACGACCGATTCGGATTCGGTTTCGATTCGGGTTTCGGGCCTCTTCTTCCCAATATGAATCGAAATCAGCGTCTAATCCATCCATTTGTCAGTTCATTATGAGATAAAAATTTGTTATTTAACACACATTTTGGTTAACTAAGTGGCAAACTATTAGCTAACATAATGTAGACGTATATAACGAGTGTGAGAAAAGTGAGATGCTTAACGCAATTATAATTACAACATATGAATAAAAATAATATATAATTAAGTGTCGATTTAATGTATGCTTTTGTTGTCTACAGAAAAGGATTGCTATGCACATAAATGCATACAAACAGCATAGGGTTTCTCAATATTGAATTTAACAGTAAATGGCATTTGATTTGAAGTTTACACACAATTAGAAGAAGTGAAGACATAGTAAGCGATTGAATGAATGAGAGAAACGGGAAAATAGGAAAGTATTGAAAATATATATAATAGTTGGGAAGTGTGTGTGGAGTGGAGTAGCAGTCAATGCCATCGATCCAAATGATAGTTAATTAGCTTTTTTGCCTCTCGTGTCGACAAACAATCGATTATTTCATATATTTTTTCAAAATATATGACCAAAATGTCTAAAACTATAAATACCATTGAAATGGTATTGTCAAGCAAATGCAAACATACAGACAATCAATAGAAATGCTATTAATTAATAACTATAACTATATAACTATTACCCATTATTATGCCGTATAAACAAATTTAAAGTTAGATTTCGGTTAGCTAACTGTAAACTCTATTATCAACAATATACTATACTTATCGTCAAATTACAATATATGTAAAACATCTGTTATACGTTTATTATCGTGCAATTCTTATGATAAATTAATTGTCATTTTAGACCATTTTGTCACTCAATTCACTCATACATGCACTCAACGAAAGCCATTCAAGCACTCAATCATAAATCGTTGGATCAATTGTTTGACTCAAAAGTGACCACTAATTCAGTGATCAAAGTGGATGAGTGGACCGAAAGTGTGGATTAGAGTAGAAATGGTGACAAAAATTACATTAATTAGTAATAATTGGTATGATTTGAGTCAATGACCCGTTTCCTTATCTACACTCTCATGAGTGCCACAAATGAGCGCTTTTTTAATGCCATGAATGAGACATCAATGAGAAATGCCTTCACAATTAGTGCACATTTGCTTTGATTTAGTTTAGCTAATGCTATGCCATTTCAATACATGTGTCAACGCTATATACACCATGTATTCAAGTAGCTATATGACCCATTACTCTGAAAATTTAATTTTTTGGTTAATTATCAAAGTAATGTACTCTCTCACAAACGGTAAATTTTCGTAAGTACATAAGTTACTTTCCTGTTAGTCACCATTCTGAATGGTCTTAACCAGACATCCATCAATACAATGGACACTCATTGGTGGTCACAATGACTAAAATTAGCAGATTATTGTCATAATGAGTGCTATTAGTATGCAATTACTGGTGATTACGAGTGGTGTCCGTATTATATAAATACAAATACAGTTCAAATGTAACAAAAGGCACACAAACAGCACAAACACTGAGTGAATGCATTGAATGCATAGAGTCTATGCCATAGACTCTCGCACTTCAAGAATTTATAGTAAGGGAGGATCCGAAAAAACACCTTCCATTCCCTACCATTCCCTACCATTCCCTACTATGCCCTACGCTTACACAAGTATAGCTGCACTATGTCTGTGCCTATGCTTATGCCGTCGTCTATGCCATACTATGCCCAACACTCTCTCCTAGTGCCAGATCCGGCAATACCTCCAACCAAACAGTGAGCCAACATCAATGTAAACCTGTATCCCATTCCCATTCCTCCGCTACCTATCATAACAATGCAATTGCCAATTGACCTGATCTTCAATTACAGTAATTCATACTTTATTTCCAATTAAGTCTTAATACTTACAAACAAATCTATGCATTCACCCATTTTTCGCATATCCAGTGTTTGAATTAAAAGTTTTCCCATTATCATTATAAAAACTATTTTTAAATAATTTCTACAATCAATAAAATGCCGTTTTGTATTACAAGTTGTAAATCAATATACAGTATCTTTATTATAGTGTTAGAAATAAACAATTAATTTAATGTTAATGTGATTTATAGCAACGTTTTGCGCAAAACTATGATTTCATTGAATAATAATTATTGTAATGAGAAAAGTATGATACTGTAGTTCCATTGAAAAATGTTTTTATTTATTAAGTTTTGATTCAATACATAATAACTGTAAAAATGGACAAATAATATAATCATATATTCATTAAGTTTGATAGGAATCACAATAGAGTTCCAAACGTTTAATATATTCAGAAATCATATTAAGAAAAGTCAATAATAATGATTGCTTTGCCATTAATTCAACTATAATTGCAGTAATATTTGGCAATATTTTGATATTAAAATTACAATAAAAATGATTAAATAAAAAAAAAATTAAGCACAGCTTTGAAAAAGTATCAAATTCTTAAAAATTGTTTTCACAATTCATTGAGAAATCTATAATAATTGGCACTAAAACTGAAAGGAAGACAAAGCCCTTAAACAGTGGAATGCTTTGACGACATCCAGAATTTCGATTATAAACCGATAAATAATTAAATATAAACTAAAAATAGGAATCAATACTAAAATGATGATCAGTGGCGAGCGATGAGTGGCACTGGCAGTGGTGGCGCCCTATAGTGGGCATGAGATGTGGTGATGTGTGTCGGTGTGAGTGTGTGTTGAGTGGCATTGCATTCATAGAGAGTGTGTTGTATTGACTGAACACTCAAATATGGATTCTATGTTGTGTTGAGTGTAACACTGTATCACTGTATGACTGTATGACTGTATGACTGCCTGTGCTCTCACTCTAACACTAATAGTGATTGAAATCGCAAATCATATTAATTGTATGATTTGCTAATCGTATGAGTGATTGTCAAGTGGTGTGAATGTGCCCTCCATTGACGGCCACAAGTAATCAATGAGTGAAATGGCGGCCAATAATATGTATAGAGTCGGAGGTAAGACATGTTCATTAAATAGTATAACAAAACGTATACTTTTTATACACAAAAATGTATTAATTGTTGAATTGATAGCGCAGTCAATGTATGAAACGATGCAAAGGCCTCAGACTCTGAGTGAGCCGGCAATCCATGAACCACTCTCCCTCTCTCTCTCTCTCTCTCTCTCTCCCTCTCTCTCCCATCGCTATATTGTATGAACACTGTATTGCATACTATAGTGCATACAGTGGTATCTGTGGTACTGTAACTGACCAGGTCCACTGTAACGGTCACTACACCTGACCACTACCTCCCGACCTCTTGTCAGTGCATGGATGCCATGATTGGTGTCAATAGGCATACATTGAGACAATAGTAGTGATTGTAGTGATAATGCATTGATTATTCACTATAATAATTGATTTACAATTAACTTAATGAATGGCTTTTGACATGTAATATGCAAATGATATATTGATTAACAATTAATACAAAGCAAATAATATACACTTTATATGACTTGAATGCATAGTTTCTATGATTTTGATGAGAGATTTGTTTTGCTATTTATAATGAATTACAATTAAAATCTAAATGAATTGATTAAATGATGGTTTGGTTTGTGGTGAACATATAGATTACGTATACTTCGAGACCTCTTCGACGTCACCATTTCTGATCAGAAGAATTGAAGAATTAATTAAAGTGAGAGTCAATGAACTCAACATTAATTTGTTGCTCAAAGTTAGCCATAACTGAGGCGAACAGTGCGAGACAATGGAGGGATCAATGAGTCGATTCATTAATGAGAGACCAATGCATTGGACATCACTTTCTGTAACTCTTGAGCTAAACCTTGAAATTAGTCAATGTATGCCATAGTGTCCATCAGTTTGTCTACTTTTTTATGTCTTTCAATTGAGTTTTGCTTTTAAGAGGAGCTTAGATTAGAGTCGTTATAGTATTCAATGCATTGGTTTTAATTAAGAAATCGATGATTGCTATGAAAACTATGTATCCATCCATGGCCTCAGTGATGGTTTTGAGCACAAGTGTTGGCATAGCATAGGGAGTAGACTGTGATATAGTAGTCTAACTGATGTCCACTGCTTACAGACCCCTAACGGCAACGTTGAGGCCAAAGTGATGTGCTTTTTCCGGCGCCGGGATATATCGGGATCTCTGATCGTATTGGCGGACAAACATCAAAGTAAGTGTATTTTGATTGTAATGTATTTCATATGAATAGTAATGCCATGCATTTGAATGGAAATGAACGCAATGGTAATGGAGAGCCGTTAATGAGCGCCTGACAGACAATATGTGCATTGAGTTTAAAATAATCTTAGATTGGATGTAGTATTGGTGTTATATAGGATATGATAGTTCGCACTGGTAGCATTGACTGCATTGATGTGGTGGTAGTGTTGGTGCCATAAATTTGTCTCAGCTCTAGCACACAGTGCTGTCAACTAATTCTGGTCAGAGTATACTCTTTCTTCCTGCCCTTTATATGAATCAACGACTGACTGCTGACTGTGGCTCCAGGGAAGGGGAACAACCCTTAGGGGGGAAACATCTCTTAATAAATTACACACTCTTTCACGCACTGCACCACTCTATGCGCTCTCGCACTCACTCTCTCGCTATATCTCTCACTCATTATTGTTTCTTAACTCATGATATAATCGCCGAAAAATGCTGTATTTGCCGAGAATTGGTCGTCAAATGGATGAAAAAGTTGTGAAAAATGTTTTAAAGGATTGTATGGCTGTTGACTGTGTGTATGTATGGGTGAGAGATGTCTTATATTCGTCACTCATTATAATTATTGCTCTACTCTTACACTATGTCTATAGCTATAGTGCGACCCAAATGACTGAACTTCATTAGTTTTGCCTGGAATTGCTTCGACCCCTCCCTACCAGTTCTCTCTCTAATTTTTTGAAGGTATGAAGTTAACAGAGCACAAGAGCATCACATATACACACATAGTATAGCC